GGAAAGGAAAGAAGGGAAAGGAAAAATGATGAGAAATGGAAAAAATGGAAATAAAGTCTTTGTAAATAGGGAAGGGTGGAGGGGGTGAAGGGAGGGGCTAGGAATGGGGAAAAAAGAACCAAGATACATCATGTAAAAGTACAAGTTCCCAATGAGAAATGTAATTGTGTTGTATACCTAAAATGTAGCAATAAAAAAAAAATGAACATACACCCCAAAGCCAAGACAATATTTCTATAAACTACTAGATTTGAAGGGATTAAATTTACTTGTTGGCTGGTTTGTGGATTTGTTGACTTACTGCATATTTTAGATGACATCATAATGTGAAGGCATGAAGAGCTAATTGTTGACTATATTGGCTTTATATACTTCTACTCAGTGACCTCAAGATATAGCTTCCTGCCTCCCTGTGAGACGGATGGACTCCAGCAGCGTGCAGTCAAATACAGGCCACGAGATGGCGCAGCACCTCTGTGCCTGGTCCCTTGGCAACACGGTAGGCAAAAATAAAACACCCCAAAAAACACCACTTGGTCGTAAGATGCCGAGATTCCAAAATCCATGGAGTAAATGTGGAAAAAACTGGTAAATGAATCTGCCATCTCTAGTCTGTTTTAAGGCAACGACAAGTGTAATGGTTTTCTTCTAAATCCTACTCCAGTATTAACATTTAAAAGCCACAAAACCCTCATAAAGCATCTAGTTTACACTAAGACTCTTATTTAGCCAACACCAGGGCTTATATATACCATATCTCAAACATCATGCATAGTGATGGTCAGATGGTGGTGATCACACAAAAAACTTGAACAAGAATTTATTTCTTAGTATTGTAAATGATTAGAACTGATATACAGTGAAACATTTATGATAACAGTTATGTCAACATAAAAATGATAGCTCTGGTTACAATTAGCACATGCAAATCACTGCAAAGGCAAAAATATATACAATATAGTCTTCCAAATGAAGTTAGATGAGGTGGAGTAAAACAACAAGTGAACAGGAAAGGATTGCACTTACAAGTAAGTGAGGCACAGCTAGGATATAAAGGAGACATATCTAATGCTAATTGCTGCATGTCATGCTAGCAAACTGCAGAGTATATTATTTAATATACGTACACGTTGACAGTTTTCAAAAACTCACCTTTATAACACCCTTTCTGACACATCACACTTTGGTATTAATGTAATAGCATTTGAAATGTGTAGTTACCAGACAAAGCTTATGCTCAAGGGCTAAAAAGATCTGGAACATTCATCATCACTGGCTTTAAGTGTATTTTCATCATCATCCATCAACTATATGAATGACTGGGTAATGAATTAAACTAACCTGTTTGAAGGAGTTACTGACTGAAGAAAGTCCTCAGAAATAAGAGGAACAAGGAATAAAAGAGCTCATTCTGAGCTGCCATCTTTTTATCTTTGATGCAATGTATACTAGAATATTATGTGCATACACTAATAGCATATGTGATGGAAAAAGATTAATTTAAAAGTACATTTAGCTTTAGAAAATTTTCTTTTGACTTACACCTGAATTCTGTTTATTACCAGTAAAAAGAAATGGCTGCCAAGAACCAGTTTAAAGAGGAATTAGGCTATATGTTTGCTAGTTTGTATGTCTGAAATCTGATAATATCCAATTTCAAGCTAACTCTAAATACTTTGCCATTTTTTTGACTGCATATTTTCTGATTTTTAGAAAAGTAAAACTAATCTTTTAAAAAAGTCTTAACTTGGGTAATATTAACAGTAGTACTGCAATTGAAAGCTAATTCAATAATTTAAAAATGATTTAAGTTTTATGTAAGCTTATTGCTTACATTATTTTACTTACCTCACCAAAATAAGATTTTTGAAACAGAAATCTTGGGAATTCTATATGATTGCTATAGTTTTACATTTTAGGTAATGGTTTTAACTAATTACATAGAAAAAAAGACATCTTTAAAAATTGTATGTCTGATTTCTATTTATTCCTAAATGTTTTGATGTTTTACTTTAAATGAGTTTTAATAAATGGTATCTTTTAAGTATACTCCCTTAACTTTTAGTTTCACAATAAGAGCTAGCTAGGGTTACTGGATGACTCCATGTGGTAAAATCCCTTATCAACAAGGGTGAAATTAAATGAACAGGTAGAGAACAGACCCAAATACATAGGATTTTGCATTTTTCTCCCTGCTTCTACTCAAATATTGGATATGTTCCTGAGTACTGATTCATGCTAAGAAAAGGATTAAAAATTTAGATTTTAATAAAAGATAGAAAGTATGAAGTTTCAGAGTTTTCTAATAGTTATTCAGCATCATGCTTTTTTTTTTTTTAGGCAGCATCTCACTATGTAGTTCAGGCTGGCCTTAAACTCGCTATGTAGCCCAGGCTGGGCTCAAACTCACAGCGATCCACCTGCCTCAGCCCCGAGTGCTGGGATTACAGGCGTGCGCCACCACAGCTGGCCACTTCAGCATTATGCTTTCATGAGAGATGAGGTCACAATACCAAAGACACCAGTAACTGACAGTCAAACAACAGCAACACATGCAACATATGTTGGATCTTTTTTTTTTTTTTAATTCTAAAGGGGGAAACTGCATCAAAAGCAGTGAATTCATTTTGTCCAAAAGGAGGCTGTTTTCTAATGTGCTAGCACTACTTTAAACACTAATGATTTAAAGAGTAATAAATCCACTAACTTTAATTTTTACGTAAATAAATCCGATTTGTTTCTCTGCATACCTAAAATACAATGTACATGCATCAAAACACATTACTCTAAAACATGCTCTAGGAAAGTAACTGTAGTTAAAACAAGTTTTTTTTTTTCCTTTAGGGCAAAAATAGACATATTAAGTGCTCAAATACATATTTCCTAAATGAATTTTTGCACCATAACCATATAACCATTTAATATACCTAAAGTGCTCTATGGCTGGGGGCACTGCTTGGTGTGTCATATTCTCTATGGGTTTCAACATGCAAATTCACTTACTTGAGGTCATTTCCTCATTGAACATTCTCATCCCATGAGTTCACATTTTATAACTATCCCCCAAATGTACAAACTTCACACTACACTGTTCCTCACAACACTATTTGTTATGAAGAAGGTTATAGCTAAACACCAGTACAATAACATGACTACTTAGAGAAAATGAAAATTTAATAGGTATAAATTTCCTGACAGACATATACATAGCAAGACAAATCCAGTTCTGATCTGGACAAGCCCTTGATGATCAAGGTGGACAGTGGTGATGCCATTATTTTGTAGTGTGAGTTTGGGTTTCTTTGACCCTACTTAACCTCTCTGTGCCTTATTTTCCTCATCCACTTCTAATCCTGTCATTTTACCAATCTAATGTTGGTTTTGCCAACAGGAGAAAACTGGATCTATCAGAATAAAGCATCTACCATCTCACAAAGATCCGTATATGTGAAAGAAGTCAGGAAAGTATTAGGCACTATATAAATGTAAGAAGTACAAAAGATATAATATAACAGGAAGTCTAATATTAACAATATTCTAAGAGTAAAAAGAATTTCAACTGCAAATGCATACCAATTTTTCTTAGCTTTTATTCTTTAATAACCTCTAGAAACTACTTTAAGTCTGCCTGTTTTCTGAAACTTATTTTAAGAGAAAAATTTTTTTCCTCTGAATTTACTTGGTGGTAGTAGTCAAGCACTAACAAAGCGCAACAATTTTTTACTCAGCATTTTATCTCTCGTCCATGTCACATGTGATACTGAGGGGATAGCATAAATGCATTAGAAATTCTAGCATTAAAGCCTAAAAGTCTGGCTCACTTCTCCCCTGATGAAAATAAATGGAAGGAAGAGGTTAAAGATACTGGTAGTCATGAAAATATTACCTTCTGCTGGGTCTGGTGGCACACGCTTATAGTCTCGGCCCCTGAGGAGGCTGGGCAGGGAGTTAGCTTGAGCCCAGGAGTTCCAGGCTAGCCTAGGCAACACAGTGAGATCTTGTCTCAAAGAAAAATAAACTAGCAGAGGATTTAGCTCAGTAGTTCTGCCACCTGCTTTGCAAGCACAAGGTCCTGAGTTCAATACCTGGTACCAAAAAAAAGAAAAACAAAAAGCAAACCTACCCCAGGGGAAAAAAACCCCTACTTCTTAATTAGGTGTAAGGATATTTGCTAGCTGTGATACTTACTAAGATCAATATGTGTATTTGGGGGTTCTGTTTTTGTTATAAATACTGTCCTCCAAGTTTGGTACAAATACCTCATAAGAGAAAAATTAAAACTTGGCATTCTTAAAAAGTACATTCAATTAAAATACATTTTAGGCTGACAACATATTAGTGTAAAGTGCTTTGTCAACCAAATCTTCTAGTCTTAACAAGGGTCAATGATGTTTATATATATGTATAGGGGAAATGTTAATTTAAGCCTTTAAAAATAACAATTTTTAAAATGCTGAGGATAGTCTGGGGTTTATAGCTAGCTCTCAGCAGGGCACTTTAATGAATTTGTGAGATGAAGCTTCAAAAAAGTTGTCAATAATAAGTAAATTTAAAAAATTTAGTGATATTTAAAAAATTACATATTAAAAAAGTGAATATATTCTGCCAAGGTAAAGCTCTAACTTCCTTTTCTCAGTAACAAGTGGCAGCATCATTAGCAGCAGAAGGGAACTGATGACTTTTTAAACTATAAATGAGCCTGCTCCCACCATTTCTTTCTGTCAGAACTCAAAAACTAGGCTCACATAGTTAAGCTCTATGGGCCTCTTTTAAAAATTATGTGGGCAGCTGAAGTAGAGGATCCAGGCCTTGCTACTCTTATTTTTTAATTAACCATCCCTAACCTACTTTTTGATGATTATTCTAATCAAAAAACAGTATAGCTATCTGAAGTACTGTGTATCACTGCTCACTCTTTAACCTCTGTCTTCTGCGTAGGAAAACACAAGTTTTACTTTACAATTTCAGACAAGCCAATTTTCTTCAGTGCAAACATTCAGAAAGAATACAAAATTATTCATTATTCAGAGGATAAAGTCAGTTTCTGTAGTGCTTAAAGTGCAATCCCAGATATTCTGGAATGGAAATAGCCCAAGTGAGATTTTATCCTTAAGGGCAAATGATTATCTTCAGGGAGTGAAGATTATTTTTATCTGAGATCACAGATAAAATATTCTTAGCTTCATAGGTACTGTTGAAGTAGTAAGAGGAACTAGTCTTTCACTGAGGCATATAACCACCTTGTCTTACAGTCTGTGGTAAGTAACTTTTAGGCATTCCTTCATCAACTGTGGCCTCTATTCCAACTGTTTCGAATCTCTCTACCTGTCCCTCAGTCTCTGAGCCAAAAGCATCTGTTGCAGAAACTTCCTGAAACATTTTCATTTGCTCAGATCCACAGGACTGTGAAATCCGATCTGAAATCTGCTGCTGTTTAAGTCTAAGACAATCTTCCTCATTGCCTGATGAAACTGGATTTGACCTTTCAAAATGTGAAATATCTGGACTGGTTTTAGGTTGACTGCAGTTCTGTTTGAAATACTGTTGACGGGGTAAAATGCCATCACCACTCTCTACATTATCTACCAACTGTAGATCTTCTGGCCGCTCCTCTGAATCTAACAAGGGCTGGGTAGATTCGGATCTTGAGAAAACTTGAACTGATGGAACCTGGTGTCTGTAGCCGCTATGTACCACAGTAGAATACTGGACAGTGCTTGAAGTATTTTGCGCAGACTCATTTTCATCACTGCTAGAAATGCTTGGCCTAGAAGATGACATGCATGAAGACCCCCCAATGCCACTGCTGTGTCCTTCGGTACTAATTTTTTCCTTCTTGAATAGGTCCAATGATTTCAGATCTTCTGGAAAAGACTTTTTGTCATTTGCTTCTATTTCCACAACACTCACATCAGTAAAAGTGCCATCTGAATATATTTGATCTTTTGAATTAAAATTGTGCTAGGAAAGAAAGAAAATGGATTATTATCTATGATATATGTTAATTTAGAACAGAGTTAATGCACCTCTGAAACTTTCAGTGGTGTGGTAATATCACTAAATCACTGTCAATTACCTGACTTGCATATAACGTAATGTAAGTCTGTCAGAAGCAGTCTGTAATTTTCCTAGAATTTCAAAATCAATACTGTTGGTATTGCATTCTGAATAAACTGAAGGTCTACAAATAGTTTTTAATTAAGCCAGGTGTGGTGGCCCACACCTGTAATCCCCACACTTGGGAAGCATAGGCAGGAGGACTAGCCTGGGCTACAGAGTGAGACCCTGTCTCAAAACAAAAATACAAATAGTATTTATTATCTCACGCCTCTACTAGGCAACATAGGATTAACTATATAGAAAACAAGGAATACTAAGAAAAACCAAATCTTAAGGCCGGGGATTTAGCTCAGTGGTTCCGCCACCTGCCCCACAAGCACAAGGACCTGAGTTCGATCCCCGGTACCAAAAAAAAAAAAGAAAAAGAAAAACCAAATCTGAATGACTGAAATTTTATAGAATCTGAAAATATGTAACAAATTCTTAATCTGTTAATATAAAATTCAAAGAAAATGTGAAGATAATAAATACAAATGATTTCCCCTTTGAGGTATATTTTGAGTTTGAAGTGTTAAGTGTAGGTTTTCCAAAATCACTTTAACTGTTAAAATGGTGAACAGTTAAACCAGGTTTTAATAAGCAATCCAATTCAAAATGTTTGTATGAAAGAGTTACCATCATGTAGCAATTTTAGCACTTGAAGTTTTCAGTTTTCAAGTTCAAAAGTTGTAGTATTTACTGAATAGAATTAGGAATATCAGACAAATATACTATGATGATAGTCCCCAGAATATGTAGGTATTACTGTAAATTTTGACTGTAATTTTCATTTATGTATTATTTTATTCTCATTTACTTTTTGATTCATCCTGAATCTTTTGGATGAACTCTATAAATATACCCTACTATGCCTGTACATTATAAACAACTCAGAAGCAGCTGAGCTTACCCTTGGAGGGGTGTGAGGTGACCACTGGGCAATATGACTCTTTGAAGGGTCTGGAACATTAGGCCAGATGTGCTTTTTAATTCTGAAAAAAGAAGAAACATGGCTTATGTAGAACTGCATGTAATAAACAACAAATAGTCCCCTATTTCTAAACAGCTCATCTAAGAATCTTAAAAACCAAACCAATTAACCAAAAGAACAAAAAAACACTTATTCTACCCAAAGCTAAACAAATTATTTTTCTTATAACCAATAGAAATATACTGTTAAAATGCATAAGGGTTTTAATGTATTCATAAGGAAAAATTATTAAAAAGGCTAAAGTTAATCAGTGTTCAAATTTTAAAAAATCTCTCACATTAAATCCTGTAATAAAACCACTTAAAAATGTTATCCAGGCTACAACAATTTCAGTACATCTCCCTTCCAACAAAAACAAAAGCAAAAATGTTTACTTGCCAATTAAAATTATCCAGATAACAAAAATGTTGATGTCGATACCAAATAAAACATGATAAACTTGTTTTTTTATAACAAGGAAGAATGTTATATTGATTAAGAAAGACAGTTTAATAAAATGAAATTGAGAGTCTAGAAATAGATACAAATTTTTATGACAACTGATTTTTAGCAAAAGTGCTAAGGTAATTCAATAGCAAAATGGTGGTCTTTTCAAAACAAATGATGTTAGAACTAGGTATGTGTGGGGTAAAAGTCTTGGCCCTGATCTCACATCATGTACAAAAATTAACACAGGGGAGCTCACAGACCTAAGAGTTAAAACTGAAGAATTTCTATGAAAACTACTGAACTTTTAAGTGGGGTATGGTGGTGCACATCTGTAATCCCAGGACTCAGGAGCCTGAGGCAGGATGATCACTGCAAGTTCCAGGCCAGCCTGGGCTACACAGTGAGTCCAGGGTCAGCGTGAATTCAATAGCGAGATCCTGTCTCAAAACAATAACAAAACCACCACAAAACCTCCCTACCGAACCTTTAGAATAAAACAGAAGAATATATTTTTGACACTGCATTAGGCAGAAATACCTTAAACAGGACATAGAGGCAGGAACTACAAGGGGAAAATACTGATAAATGGACTTCAAAATTAAAACTAAAATGACAATGCATAAACTGGGACAAAAATTTACAAAACATATATTTGACAAAGATTATGTAACCAGAACATAGAAAGGACTCATAGCTCAATACTGACAAAATGAACAACTGGAAAATGGGCAAAAGATTTCAACAGACACATCACAAAAGAAAACATGTGACACATGAAAAGTTCTACTAATTAACCAAGGAAATGGAAGTTGAAACTACTATGAGTTCTATACACTCACTTTTAGAAAAAAAATCACTAAAATGAAGAACTCTTAACAGTATCAAGTGTTGGTAATAATATGAAACACAGCCACTCAAAAAGTTTGGCAGTTTCTTACAAAATTAAACACTCACTTACCACATGACCCAGCACTCCGAATCCTAGGTATTTATTCAGGTTAAATGAAACATATGCCCATAAAAAGTTCTGTATGTGAATGTTCATAGCAATATTATACATAACAGAAAAAATCAGAAAAATACCTAAACTTCCACAACTGATGGATAAACTTTGACATATCCATTCTATATAATACTATTCAGTGATAAAAAGAACAATATTAGTATAAGCAACAATATAATGAATTTAAAAAATATTATGCTAAGTGAAAAATACCATACACAAAATATTACATGCTACTTGATTCAATGTATATGAAATTCTAGATAAGACAAAACTACAGTTACAGAAAAATTATAATTGTCTGGGATAAGTGTTAAGGGAGAGGATGGATGATAAAAAAGTAACAAGGAAACTTTCTAGGTGATGGAAATATTCTCTATGATGATTGTGGTAGTATACATTCACACACAATTACAAAATTCAAACTGTAAACTTAAAATAGATAAATTTTATTGTGTATAAATTACAGGTCTATGAAATTAGGGAAAATGCAAAAAATATGAACATGGGTACTTACAGGTCTCGCTTGTTAAAGCAGAACAATACACCTAGAAGAGTTGTCAACAGGAATGCTAAGCAAACAGGTACAACTATGGCTTCTATTTCTCCTTGAGCTAAAAGAGAGGTGGTGATAAGAAATAATTGTTGCCATGGACACAGAAAGAAATAATACAACATCATTCTAATTTTGTTTACAGCCCTTTTCAGACTTTAATTTTTCCTTTCTCTTCTTGGTAAATCATATCCTACTCATTTATTCTCACAGTAACTTGACCACATGTAATAAGCATAAAATATACCCTACCTAATCCTAGCTGCATTTAAAAGAGGACTAATTACTAATCAAATGAGTCACTAATTGGGATGGCTAATGTAGGTATTTTTCTAGTTAACTCTTCCACTCACCCATTTTTTTGGTGCTGGAAGGTGAACCACAGTTTACCCAAAGCCCTTGAGAAATCTTTTAATTAGTCTTCTGTAGGACAAATGTATGACATATTACAGTCACATATTGTTCACTTACTTTGTAAGCAACTCTATATCCCACAAAACTCAGTAGAAATCAAGAAATCAGAACAATGCTTGGGAATAAAAGTTAGCAGATATTAACTCCTGAATGCTGAGGATCTCAAATACAGAATGCCAAATCTAATTTAGGCAGAAGCTATCTTTTATTGCTGCTAAACTTCTGTTTTTATGTTTTCATGCACTGGGCCTTTACTCATGCCATTTTATGTGTTTCTTTTTTCCGATTTGTCTACATTCTAACTTTAAGGTTCTGGCACACATCCTTCTCCATCTATTTAGTATTTACATAGCCCAACTGGTTCTCCTATTTGTTTTATTTACTTCTGCCTGCATTTCTTTAACTAAGCTGTAAGATCCTTTGGGGCAAGACCCATGTCATGTGAAGAAGTCATAATGGAAGCCACAGATAGGTTTAAAAAAAGATTATAAAATAATATTCTGTTTCCATTTTTTCCCTTGCATTCTCTTTTTTTAAAAATACTTTTTCTTTTTCTCCCTTTCCCCTCCTCCACCCTTGTTCCCTTCCCATTTGAGCATGTTCTTTCTACTTTCCAGTACCTGTCCTCCATTTTGCTCCTTATTTACTCCTTGAGTTTCTCACCCAAGAGAAACAATACAATATTTAAACTTGTGTGTCTGATTTATTTCACTTACGATTATGGTCTTGAGATGCATCCATTTACCTAAAAATGTCTCAAGTTTATCCATACTATGTACAAGAGCAAATTCCTCAAGATAAATGTGATCATCATGTATGGTGAACATGTATTAATAAAAAGATTTTTTAAATACTAAGCATGATCTAATTTTTTGAAAAGAATGTATGCATAGAAAAAACCCAAAAATGTTAGATTATTTTTGGCTGAGAGACTGGAACTGAATTTTCTTCCTCTTTGCATTTGAAACTGCATAAACTCCCCATATTGCTACTAGGGAAAATATTTTAAAAGTTTTATTATTTCTTCTAATATTTTATTTCAAGTACTAGGGTTAATATATCTATTCTATTACTATGTCACCACATGGGTCAAATCTTAGCCCTGAAACTACTTTAATTATTGGCCCTAATAGGGAAGTTCAGGACTTTTTATTATCTATTTAAATAGCCATTCATCCATTCATTCTCTCCTTTGGCAATCATTCAACCAATAAAGAAAAAGGAGATTACTGCTTATCATTCCCCTTGTTATACTGTTTTTTGGGTGGGGTACTGGGCATCAAACTCGGGACCTTGTGCATTTGAGGCATGCAGTGGAACCACTGAGCTAAATCACTGGCCCTCTCTTTGTTATTCTTTATGGGTGAGAGTTATAAATACAATCACAAGAAGTTAAAGTAATTTCTATAATGATTCAAATAGTGGAATCAAGAAAGAATGCAGTGTAAGTCTTCTTTAAGGAGGCTACAGGAAAAGTCAAAACCAGAGAAGGGAAAGACCTACACTAGGGCAATGCACTCAGAAAGACAGGAAAAGATGCAGAGAACAATGAGGGGCTTATGGTCAAAACTGGTTTGAAAGGGTAGGTGCACACAGTAATTAGGCATAATCAACAGGATCTTGACACTTGGCTTATATGAAAGAAAAAAATATGAAGAAAGTTACTGCAATCACATCTAAGTATTTCTGGCTTTGGTAAAAAGCTGTGTGGTTGTGGCATGGAACAAAGAAATGTATTCGGGAAGGAAAGAGAGGATGGTTGAAGTCATGGACAGAGAGTACAAACAAGGAGAGAGACTGGGCCAAAAACATAGTGTGGGGGAATATAAACCCTGTAAAAGTTGTGCAGAAAAGGAAAATAAGAGGAGGTACCAGGAAAGGAGCAAATTGAGGGAAATGCTAGTAGAAAAACAAAGAAAAGGACAATATACTAATGAGAATAGAAAAGAGGTAAAAATGAAAAAGCATGTACTGGCTGTGATGATTAAAGTCGTCAAAGAGGCTCCCAGGGTAGAGAAGGTGAGCCGGTCCCAGAACACGGAAGGAAGCTCCCTGCCTCCATCCCAGGCTCCTAGGGCAGAGAAGCTCAGCCGGTCCCACCACCCGGAAGGAAGCTCCCTGCCTCCATCCCAG